GACTATAAACTTTAAACACAAGTCATGTGCACATTTACTACGCCACTGAACATACTTACATTTAAATGTGTACTGCCTGGATTCAGCCATTTTCCGCCAAAGATTTGGGAAATTGTTCCGTGCCCAAAGTATCGTTGGGCTTTTAAGACCGCAGAGGATACACATGTGCATCCTCAAAATGTCCCGCAACAAAGGACTCAGTCCTCGGTAGAATTCCAAGGATCCTGATCTGTACATTGGATCAGTCCTTCGGAGGGATTCGATGACATAGCATCCGTGAAATAGTGGCTCTGAAGGATCCTTCCTTGACATAGAGAAACACCCAATTGCACAATGAGGAGAGGAGACAACTGACAACAAAGTGATGTCGACCACTTGCACTACATGTCTGGGTGAACAACGTTAAGCTGCTGATAACAGCTTCTGTGGGATTTCTGCTCCAGCTGCCAAGTTTCACAGTCTAAACACAATCAGCTGTGCATGAACTCTACCTTGATGATGTAGGGTTGATAAATAGATAAATAAATAGTTGGGGATGGTACTTTGAAGGTATAGCTTTGAAAACAACATATTACTCCAACATTACCCTACCATTGGGATACATCTAGTTGGTACTGCTGATGTTAAGAAAAAATAGTTCAGTGTATTCTGTAAACAAATTATCAAAATGACACAGTTCATGTGATAGTAAATTATAACAAAATACAATACAACTTTTTTGACATGCAAGCAAAAAATGCAACTCAATTGTTTTTTATCCAAAAAGGTGCCGACTAGTTTAGAGGACGTACATAAACCTACCAACAACAAAAAAATATTCGACTTATATTTAATGAAGAAAAATTGAAGTATAGAATCAATAGTAAAAAAAAGCAACAATAAACAACAACATCCCTTTTCCCAAGTTTGTGGTATAACTGATTTTATGTTTAATTACAAGCCACTAATTCCTAACACTGTAGTGTAAATGTTTAACACTTACATTAAAAATTGAATTTCCTGGTTTAAAAACAAGGAATCAATTCGAGCTTGCGGTACTACACAGTTTTGATTACTATGTGCCAAAAACACATTTTCTCTTTACGATTGGATGTTGAGATTTGACCTTTTGTATATTTGTCTGCCAAGCAGAAATACACTATTTTGCTTGGCAGACATTGTGAGGAGCTCACATAAATTGCTAAGTGAACGCCTACATTTCTACTGAGTGCAATTACACGTCAACACTGCACACTCTGAACAAGAGGAGGATGATGTATCCGTCAATATGGTGGTAAATGGACTAGACACATTATCAGGAGACACGACAAACAAAACATCAAAGGCAAAATGTCCCTTTAATTTGCACAAATGGGACAAAAAGTAAATTGTTGAAGCATTTGTGTTGTGTCATAGACTTTGTCACAATGTTTTATTTCTATTTATTGAGGTCATAGTGGCCTTGTGTTGTGTTTTTATGTGCTATGTGGATGTATTTTGGAGAGGGTGAATCACACTGGACTCAAATCCACAAACCTTTACAACAGGAGACAAAATACACAATGTAAAAATAAACACCATCCTTTTTTGGTGCAAGGTCTGAAAAGGACAATGTGTTTCTGTTTACACTGAAATTAAAAAGTCAACAAAAAATAAACCCTGTCATTTTTCCAAAATCATTATCTTTAGGGGTGATTAACCAGTGTTGAACTTTGCAAAAATAAAAATGTTTCCTTTCAATCAACTTCAAATACCTGAAGTTAAAAGGGCTTAACTAATGTAAATAAACAATGTCCACTAAATGGAGGATCAACACAGGATTAACGAAAGCATGCAACTCGATATATTTTAATAGGAAATAAATAAATGTCAGTGTTATAACAGTGGCACAGAACAAGTAACAACCGCTCATCATGAAAACAATTCAAAGCTTCTTCTAAAAAACTAAACTTCAAATCTGAATACAGAGCATTGACACGCGGACAAAGAGCAAAGCAAAGAGGCAGCAGGATGAGCTCCTTATCTGATTATTCAAATCTTCCCCTTAACACCTGGACTCCACTGAACAGCCATTTTTCTTTGTCGTACTGTCGATGTTTGTTGTTTTTATAACGGAGGGTCTGTTTTGTTATGGCACAATGTGATCTAAGAGACACTTAAATGAAATATGTTTCATATATAGCCCTCCCTCCCACCAAGACATGACTGCTAGTGATGCTGCTGTATCAGATAAACAAACATAAATGGCTATTTATTTGCCTAACAGACAATATTAAAATCCACATATGCTGATTTTTATCTTACGTCTTTATTTACCCTATTTTCAGGGTGTTTGAAGGTCCCCGGAAATGAAAACCAACTAACTAAACCAAGTTAATCTCAAAATACCTCAAATATAATTTGCGCAATTATGTTTTGACTTTCTGCTAGACTTCTAATGTACAACCACACATAACTTCACAGAAATACATTTCTGAGAAAGTCCAACATGAAACAGAGCGACACAAAGTCACAAAAATATGTTTTTAATAAATAATGTTTAATCAAATACCACAACGATAAAGCGGTTTTTGTTTCTGCTACCTTGTCAACTGATATATGACAATTCCTCTGAGTCTTTTTTGGGTCAAAGCCATTGTGATATTGCAATATTTATGAGAATCCTTCCTGTCCCCTTCATTTTACAAAAGTGATTTTTAACTGTCCTAAGATGCATTTTGTTCCTCTTTTATCAAATTACTTGTGAATATGTTTTGTTTTGTGAAGTTTAAGTACAGACATCACTCCGCAAAGGTTGAAATTGCTCCAATCAACTTAAGCACAATCAAATGTTCACAAAATAAACATAGAGTGGGTAGACAAAATAACAAAGACACCTTTCAATATGCAACTCAGTACAACAACAGTACAAAGCTTGAGAACAACAAAACTCTCACACCTGTCAGTTAAGTAAAATTATAAAGTAAGGGGCAGGTTAGCTAGCTTAGCATAAAGACTGGAAACAGGCGAAAACATCTAGCATGGCTCTGTCCACAGCCCATTTGTCCTGGTAGCCAATCCTGGTAATGAACCCCCCCAAAAAGCCATTGCTGTCTAAAACCCTTTCCCCCCATTAACCACCCTCAAAAAGAAATTTAAGTACCTCTCTGCAAGAACGTGAATAACTGTTTTTTTACCAAAGCGTGAAACTAGCATCCAGTTGTGTTTACATCTCACTGTATTTCACAATATTGAATACATTTGGAGGTGTTTCTGTTATTTTGTCTACCCCCTGTATCTCTCTGGCTGATTTCACTCTAATCCAACTTTCCGTTCTCTCCCCGGGCTGTTAGCATATCCGACCCTCCGAAGCCTCGCCTCGATCAGACCCAGGCGTGGAGGCTGCCGGCCCAGTCCAACAGTCGCCCTCGGTACCAGGCACGTGAGATCGGCTGAATGAGAAGCAGGATTCGAAACCTTCGGACCAGCCCGCAGAAAATGGCCGCCGCCACGACCACGAGCGGTGACATCATCACAAAACCCAAGATGATGAGGGCGGAGCAGCTGTTGTCGTCAAGGTAGCCGCATATCGCAGAGGGGGCGTCAAGGACCTACAAGGAAAAACACAGAGGCATCATTAAAGCAGACATGGGGGGGCCCAGAGGACATGATGCACCTTTTGGGATCAGCAGGGGCTTCTTCTCTTCTGTCACAAAGCAAAGAGGTGGGAATTGTTATTTGTGTGTGTTGATCTATGCTCGATGTGCAGAATGACGTTGTGGGTAGTGGGCTGTGAAAGAGTTTCTCCCAGCCTCCCTCTGCAGTTCAGATAAGAAATGGCTCAGTAGCTGTCAGTAACCCTCTGAGCTGTCAATCACCTTGTGAGGGCGAACGAGAGGGAGGAGGAAAGAGATGGGAACTATAGAAAGACGTCAAACGGGCTGCTTCACAAGTACACTAACATCTTCACAAAAACATAAGTACACAAAGTACGAGAACATCATCTCTTTCTCTGTCAAGCCCACTCAGACAAACTAAACCTCCTATTGTAAGACTTTTCAAAAGGAGCTTCCCCTCCACCAAAAGCACCCTAGCAACGGCAGTGTCTAACTCACTCATGAACACACGGACACACACACCTCTGTCAAGTGCACTGTGCTCTCTCACAGTACAGCGTGTCAGTGCACAGCTGGCGCTGGCACCAAATCAGACACTCTTGTCTTCTCAGTGGGGCCCTTTCGCCATGTTCAGTCTGTCTCCACAAAAGGGAGAACTCTCTGACTGACATTGTCTGTAATTGTTTGCTCAGAACTGACATTTGCTCTGGCGATAATAGTAGCGTTGCATGCGCACGCATTCAATGTTCTTCATTATTGTATGCTCTTGTCATACTTCAGAAACCACATCATTCAATACAGGGAAACCAGAGGGAAGGGACCAACTGTATCGAATGTAGGATGTGGTGTTATGAACAGTATGTTATGACACCCGTTGGTTGTGAATTTCAGTTTTAAAGCCTCGAGGTAGGCATTTTGACCATCACCATCTTGTATATTTGGAACCATACGTGACTGGAGAGGGTGGAGAAAAATACCAAAATACAACAAAGCACTGAACAAGACATATTGAAGCAACCATAAATGTTTTAACTGACTTAAATTTGATAACATCTATGAACTGAAAACACTTTGAGGGTTAATGTTGTAAACTGAAGAAACTGACAACATTCAAAAAAGGGGTAGCAACCTGTCAATCACAAAATAGCCCAAACCAAAGTCAGGAAAAGGGTACTCATACACTTCTATGCAACCCGAGATTTCCTTTTGTAATGATGGCCATTAGAGAGAATGCAGGTTTAAGGCACTTTTCCGAATTGGCTTCATTTTTAAATACCTTGAGGGTGCTGTTTGGTAACAACCTGTGCAGTGAGACGAAGACAAAGCTGTATATCTTCACAGCATGAATCAGCATGATGCGTGCAATCACACTATTTTACTGATGATCTGTCTGCCCCGCATATCACTCATCCAAATAACAAGGCGCACCCTTCTCCTCACCTCATAACAAGAACACTGACAAGCTCCAGCATTCACTTTAATCAGTTGAAAGCTTCAAAACTATAGGTACAACCCGATAAAAAAGCCTGAAAAACGCTGTGGAGATAGTGTCAGGTATAGATGTATCACTGCTGTTAAAAAGGATGTCTGTTTCCCTCAAAGACTCCAGGTGCCAGTTAGAGATAATCCTCTTTCTAAATGTCACAAGATTACTTGCCTAAACTTCCCTTGAAAAGTGCAGATGTCCTTCTTGTTGGATATGTAAACATACTGTCAGGTCGACACAGAGAGCACTTTCCTTTTTAAAGCTGCAGGACGTTTTTTTTTAGCCACTCGGGAAACATGATAAATTACTCTGCTTAAAGCTCTGTTTTGCTCTTCAACAACTCCTTGAGAAAGAAACATCTGGCCCTCTAGCTAATAAATACTTCTTAATGTTCACCTGTTATCCATTAACTGTGTCTGTCTGCCTTTTGGTGCTGTGTTTTGATTAAAAACAAATGCTTGCTTTAGCTGAAACACGAAATTGATGATCATTTTATATGGGTTTACTTAATGAGCGACATTTTTACATCAGTAGTCATAATACTAGAATAATAGTAAACTTGTCCTCTCAGCTTGCACATTAAACAACAATAACCGCATAACAGAGTGATATCTCACCCTGGAGTGGCAGAGGAACCCGGCGTACAGCAGCAGCATTGCAGGGAGCAGCACCAGAGAGAAGACAACAGCCAGGAGCAAAGCGCTGGCTGAAACCACAAAGATGTCCCAGAGGACGAGGGCCGCCCCACAGGCCAGGCATCCCACCCTGCCCCTGCGGCTGCCCCATGCACTGCCCCCGCTGTGGGCCACAGGAGGGGGCAGCATCTTCACTCCCTCCCCGATCCAGAACTCATCTTCTTTCTCTTCCTCGACTGAACCATCCTCCAGGTCCACATCCACACCACACATCCTGTGGCAGAAGGAGAGATACAAAATGAGAGAGCGGGTTTAGGGGTAATACTGATACATCCCTTGAGTTGTTATTGAATGGATGAAAAAGAGATAGAAGAAGAGAATATGCATGCAAAAACATTCCTGTGCCTTTTTAAATGTGTATAATGATAATCTGTTTTAATGGACAATTAAGTTATTTAACATGTTTGCAATGCCCTGCCCCCCTTCTTCTCTTTAAAAAAATAAAATAATAAACCAGCCACACGCACACGCACACGCACACGCACACACACACACACACACACACACACACACACACACACACACACACACACACACACACACACACACTATGTACCATCTAGCTAACAAATGTTCTATTTAGCTAGCTATGGCCAAATGTGTGGCTATTGTTATTGAAAATATAGTTATTATTAACCTGTTAAGTAAGATAAAAGTACCCTTATTACTTATCGTAGCTGTACATACAAGATATCCGATTAAAGCTGAGCTTCCACAGATTATTTAGGTATATAGTATCATCACTGAGTGATCCAAACTCGCGACAGGGGAAACAAACACAGACATCACAACACATACCTTTACGGAGCTTCTAGGGAGATCGTCTCACCGTAGCTGTCAATCTGATCAAAAGACGTGTTCAATGGCATTACAATGAGAAAAAACGCGGTTGAATCGGTTAATCCATAGGTTTTTAACGTCTCTGTATAAAAAAAATATTTCATTTATAATACATAATTCAATTTTTATGTAAAAATCGCAGAGAAAAAGTTAGCTGCTAATGATAGCCGCCAGAGTGGCTGCTGCTTCCGGTCTTGGCTATGCGGCAGTCTAACACACACACATTACCAAATAAGGACTATGTGGGAGTTCCCCCCGATTCCATTGGCTCTGACGGTTAGAAAGATATGTCACATGTCAAAATCCAGCAAGGGGGGCCAGAGATATGAAAAATCCACCCAAATGGCCCCAGAAGAGGTTTTTTTGTGCTAAATCTGTCTAAAAAGGTCAAATATCACTTGTTTTGCATCAATCTTGATACAGGGTACTTATTATATGTTGTACTTTGCTAAAGCTTCCTCCAAGGTTAGTTTTCACTATAAGTACAAAATATCTTTTGGACGTACACTATAATTTACAGTTTTTTACAATGTTCAATCTGAATTTTCTTTAAAATAAAAAACATCTATATTTATTCTGACTTTTCTACATCCAACTCACAGGTTTCTCATTACTTTGAGAAAAAAGATTATTAATTTAACCCTTTTAGAAGGGAAGATATGGTCATTTGTTCTGGGAATGTCATTTTCGAGCCTGAAACCTGAAAAACAGGCTCGGGGTTTAACAGGTTTTAACAGCCTACTGTTAGACTTGCAGTATGGACTTGTGTCTACCATTTTGGCAGTGAGATGTAATTATAAAAACATTATTGATGTGTTTTTGTAAGCAGTCTGGGCTCTCTCATACAGCCAGCTCCAAACATTGCTGTCACTTCTAAAACATACGTTTTTTGGATAAAGTGATCGCATATTGCTAATCCAAATAGTTCATTTTTCGCCTGAAATACTGTTATCACATAACTGTTCATTTAAATGCTTAAATACTGTTTATTTGGCAAGTAAAGGTTGATAAAGCTGGCGACGCCATAAAGAAATAGCAATTAGGCTTTAACTGGAAGTACCAACACATTATACGGTAATGTGGAATCACACTAGGTGACTAAACTCTTATCATTTCTGCATTAAAGATTCTGTGTCATTTGGGGAGCCGCTCTCTGTCTTTGACCAGCATGACTGAAAGAAATTATAGCGGCCATGATTATCTTTCACTATGAAATGAAGCTATCACAGGAGAGAAAGAGGGAATTTCACACTTTGGAAATGAGATTGAGTACAGGGCTGTGAGGATGTCCTTGAATAGAGGCACAGCATCTGAAACTCTTTGACGAACATACACAGAATTCTGCAATGAGCGGCAAAAGGCGTTCGAGGACCTAACTACTGCTTTTATTTATGCTTTTATTTAGTCATTTCGTTTTTATAGTAACTGCCATCACTCTGACACCTCATCAACGTGAAATGAACTTTACAAAGATTAAACATGAATATCTATAGAAAATCTGATTTAAACTAAATAGTTTGCAGAAAGTGCGAAGATAAAAAAAACGTGAGTAGATTTTCTGTTTCAGTGAAGCTGAAAATGAAGCTTATATTGAGAGCATTTACAGAACCTGACATACAACATGCATGCTTGCTTTAAGGAGCAGTGTGTACAGTGTATGTAAGTTAAAATATAATATTCATATTCACTGTACTGACTCTTGGCTCTTGTTTCTACACGGACCACTATTGCGGTAAGCATGTTGTAACTTCCGGTTGTTGTTGTCATCTCCGGGTATCCCGTGTGCCTGTTCTGTTGCTGATAGCTTATTATCTTAACTTAATCGATCGTTTTAAAACTCTTGATCACGGCAACTGCCTGACGTTGTAATCACACGTTACTACAGCTTAAGCACTCACAAACTCTCCTTCTCTTAGCGACTGTAACTCCACAGTTGCCTACACTCTTTTCGGGTTTGCTAACGGTAGCTACTTTAGCTTGATAGCTAGCCATGGCTCTTTCCCCACCCTCGGGTGCTATTTCCTGCTCTAACTGTCTCATGTTTGGTTACTTCCCTACCTCCTTTACTGGTACCGATACATGTGTTAAATGTAGTATAGTTGTTAGGTTGGAGGCGGGAATCATAGCCATAGAAGCCCGGCTCCGCATCTTAGAAAATAACTCAGCTACAGTAAAGCCCATGTTAGCCGGTGCGGACCGGCAAAAGGTAGCTCCTCTTAGCCGTCCCCCGGCAACTCCCGAGCAGCAGGGAGATTGGGTGACTGTTCAGAAGGGGCATAACGC